AAGAAGAAAACGCATGTCATGTTAGGTCAAGTTTATTTCAAAATCTCGCTCCATCTATAGGAATAATTCTAAAGCGGATTAATTCTTCGATACATACGCGAGCGTCTATAATCCGAAATTTATGTCGTAATTAAATATTGTGAAAGAGAAAATCCCGCTTTCGTCGATTACTTTGACAAATTTAAATTTCTCATATACCTACCTTATAGGTACGTATATGGAAAAAAAAAAAAAAAAAAACTGGTCCATATAAAAATTTAAAAAGAAATTCTTAGCGTTCTATAAAACGTGATGTCCTGCAGGGACGAGTAAATCACCGGAAATTTCGATTTTTTTCTTTCTCAATAAATCACGTCGCGATACCCGACGTGGGTTATGACTTTCCCATAATTCATTTTCACAGTTATCGGTCTTGCGTCCCCTGGAGACGTATCTAGCATTAGCAGCTACCGGTGAGTTTCATCATTTTTTCGACTGTGGGTTACGCGGCTTAGCGGGAACGGTGTTCTCTCGTCTGGAAACTTTTATACCGCCGTAATTATTTACACGACAGCCGTATAGAGAGAGGATCTTCTCTCTCCGGTCGCGACGGCAGGTAGAGGCAGGAAGTATAAATCACGATGAGGAATGGACGACATATTCAATAACCTCGCAATAAAGTGGGACGAAACTTTATTAGGAGACGCGTATGGCGTGGCGAAAGAGTATGCGGGGATATAGAATCATGAATTTCGGTCCTTTCGGTGCTCTGTCGTCCTCTATAAATCGTCAGATTAATATCGCCCGTGTGGGAATCCGGGCAATCGGGAGAGATCGGCTCGGCCGTGAAAATCGCGTGATTTAGGAAATCGTATCCGATTTCCCAGAATTACGATCGCAATATTCGCATGACGGGACTCGCGATGCTTCCGTAGTCGCGAATCAAACATGAAACTGTCGTTCGAAGAGAGAGAGAGAGAGGACAATGGCTGATTCATACGCGTTTATTTTCTATAAAAATTCCTATTTCCCAGATTGAAAAAATCACCGCGCAATAATAAGAATTTCGCAACTCAATGCTATATATTCCGAACGATATGAATATATCGTATTTTTATATACTCGACGTAAATAGACGCTTCAGAAAGCCACCGAGCTGAAATTTCTCCGACACGCCTTTCGACCAATTTGAAAGGAATATCCCTTAAGGATAGAGATCGATGTCGCAAATTCGATTTGAAATTACGGTATATATCCGCGGCAATTTTTCACTCGATTGCAACTCGACTGCGAAGGCTATACGTGCGACGTTTCGTCCTTCGACGCGATGTTGTTGCTTGACAAACAAGCTACGTTTCGGCCGTCGATAGTTACACTTCGATCCCCTTCGGAACGGCAATCATCGTCGAGGTCGAGGCTCTCGTGCACTTGGCTCACGCTGCATTATTCCCGAGTGCAATCGTGGGAGAGTTTCCGGACTGCAAGAGAGAGAGAGCGGCGATTTGTCCGCCTGTCAAGCGAGAGGAAACACGCCGCGCTCGCGTCTCTCGAAAAGGGAGGAACATACACACCCGAGAGAAGTTACTTCGGGGGTAATAACCGAGCGATGTGCCGGCTGAATTGCCTCGGACCGAGCGAGCGCAGGCAACCGGAGGCGGATCCGGTGTCACGTCACGTTCCGCGTCGGGATGGATGCATCGCGTGCCTCCTGGACCGCTCTATTCCGCGAGGAGCGCTTCTCTCGATGTACCTATCGCCTACTCGATTTTCGCTTTACGAAATCCCCGAGGTCGCGTTCTCTCGAACGCGATAACTATAGGGCGGTATTTTTTGACCAACATTTACTACATAATTGAGGAACTTTGATTAACTTGGAAATAACATTTTTTTAATTCGCTAAAAGGGGGATACTTATCTTAATTCCTATATAAACTTGTTTAAATACGATAAGTTAATCTAAAATCGATATTCAATTTAACTTTCCCGATTTGCTCCAGCTTGCTACATAATAACGGTTTTATTGAGAATATATATGTGTTTCGAAATTAAAAAAAAAAATACATACACGGAGAGAATTTTTCTTACGATAAAAATATTAATATGTATAATACATAGTAAATTAATCGAGTATATTTTATATCTTATTATGGTAGATATTAATATTTATATTGTGGTAAATATTAATCAAAAAAACCTTATAAAATTCTTCCAATATCATGATTTTTCGGATAAATTCTAAGAGACAATTTCTCTGTGTAATATTGAAAAAATCTGAAAATTGCATATGTATATCTAAAAAAAAGATGTATTATTGACGAATGCCACCAAGTACATACTAATAAAATGACCATAAATAATGTTTGGACCGCGAAACAGCCAAGTTCGGCGAAAATGAGTTTGACCGTCGCGTCAGTCTTCTTTGATTTGAATTCGTTCGCGCGGTCGCATCCTGAATGAGCCATTAGCGCCGAGGCACGTGCGCCTCTCTCACAGACAGTATGACGCTTTGCTGTTGCTGCTGCTGCCGCCTGCGATGTCGAGCTTCGACGATCTCCCGAAATAACTCGCATCCCTCGTACACGCGCGGTATGCAACTTCTCGGCAGGTGCAGCGCGCTGGCGATTGCGCTCACGCAATCGAAATGCGCTCGCGCGTTTTCGCGGAAGACACGCCCGGTGTTCGAAGCTGTCGCTCCGCGTTTGCCTCTAATTATGCTTGACTATTAAATTTCATGAGATTCTCAAGAAACGATCACATCCGCATGTTGTGTTTAAAATATTCAATGAAGGAAAATAACTTTGAAAATTTAAGCAGCTTTTCAATATAAGTTACTTCTTTTTTTTTTGAGATAAAGATATATGTATTGATGTGTTTTCTGTTAATGTGAAATTGGAAAAGGAGACGATAAAAAATGGACATACGTGTTCTAGGATAAATTGTCAAATTTATTATATCATGTATATATACGCGTGGATGCCTTGGTGTCGCAAAATATGAGTGTCGCAATTGCATTTGTGAATTAACTCGGAAATTCAAAGTGGGAAGGATTTCAACGAAAGCTCGAATCACTTCGCGATAATAAGGAGATCCAACAGTCGAGACGACGCGACGCATTGCATCGCGAATCAAGACGCCACGCAGCTGCGTAAAATTCAGTTTGCGTGCCAAGAAGATAAATTTAAGGCGCGTAAATTTCAGCTGCACCAAAATGCAGAATTTTATTTTTTAATAATCGGGTAGTGAAACATAAGAATAATAATGACATGAAATATTAATCTTTATATTTTTCTCCCATTTGTTTCAATATATTCTATTATAGTCTTAACCAAGTAATTATTATATACGTATATATATGTATATGATATCTACTAATTAATTATTATGACTTTGAGCTAATTTTTAAATATTAGAATTTTTAACTAATATTAATTATAATATTTGATTGAAATATAGATTTTTACGCGATTTTTAAATATACATATATTTATATAGTACATATCACATCGAGAAATTTTTTCTATATTCTGCTTCCTCTATAATTTTTATAAATTTAATATAAAATTGTGTTATACGATTATTTTTATCTTCTCTTTAATTATCGATCTTTGATAATGAATTTTTGAAAATAGTTATATATTATTTTCTTAATGCTTCTCTTTTCTGACATGCATTAATAATTTACATTTATATACATGCATATGTAATCCATGAATTAAGTTGTCTAACAATTACAATTATATATTCTCACAATTACAATTATTATCTCACATACATATGTACGTATATATTTACGCTAAAAATTCTTTTTATTTTTGCATTTGAAATAATCCGAATACATGCTTAAATTCTTTTTATTCTCATTATTATACACTTTTATTAAAATTAATTTATATATAATATTATATATATATATAATATTGTATATAATATTATATTATAATATATATATAATATTATAATTTATATATAATATTATTAAAATTAATTTATATATAATATTATTTGTAAAATAATCGAACTTTTCAAATAGTGAAAATTAATTATGTTGATATAACATCCAAGGAATTCAGGAACTGTTTTTTTCAATGCCATTAAAAGTGGAAGACCTTTGCAGAAATACTGAAAAAATCGGAGATTATCAATGGCTCTCTATAAAAATGTTACATTTGTAATTTTTCATAAATTTTATTATTTTATTATAATACAATAGCAACTTACGATTAAAAATTGTTTAATAGCTTAAAAAATTCATTTGGCAGATTTTTAAACTGTTCGTCATATACTTGTATCGCTGTATTTATGCACTGTGGTGCCCAATACATCATTAAATTATCAATTGTTTCCATGTAAAAATGCATTTTGTTCATCTGTGAGGTAGGCTTTAGAAGATGGTCGATTCAAAATTATTTCCATAAAATACGCTGCCAAAGCATCTGGTGAATCCTTTAAATCAATCTCTAAAACAAATAGTATAAACTTTGAAAATGCTAGATTTTTAATCTCTTGCTTATATTCTACATTAATCTCCTGCATTCAATTAATAATAAAATCTATAAATATTTTTATAGAATTATAAAATACGAATACATTACATACTAATTGTGTCTATTTCTGAGGCATTATCAATTGTGTTCATTTCTGCAGCTTTATTAATTGTGTTTATTTCTGAAACATTATCAGTTTTGTTTATTTCTGAAGCTTGATCCTCAAGGTATCCGAATTTTTTAAGAGTTTTTCAACTGGTACTATTTTTTTAGTAAATTCCGAAAAAAAGTAATCTCTTTCTCGATATGCGTTGTTATATCCAAATATGCTATAATCTTTATACGCGCTACAATTTAAATAATAAACATTTTTATATATTTTTTTCTTTAGAATTAGAACCTTCATAAACTTCTTATTAAAAAAATAAACTTACTGTTGCGGAAATAACATCGACATAATATAGCTGTTAATAGCATCGTGACGGTCATCTATAACGTAAAATTTATCATGACCAAGTTTCAACATAAGATTTTTTAAAACCACACTCATGTCAATACATGAAAAACCAGATATTGTTGGTGCGCTAGAGAAACCAAATCCAGGCAAGGAAGGTATTATTATTTCACGCGACTTTTCTAATGATATATCTTTATAAATTCTATTACTGAACTTGGCCATCCGTGTAAAAGTAGCAATGGCAATGGCATATATCTCTTTTTGACATTACATTTCTTCACATGTGGCTTTATATGAATAAAGTGAATGTCTAATCCTGAGAATGCAAAATATACCTACAATTATTTATTTAACTTAATAACTATGTTAAGATTGATAATTCTCTCTTTTTTAAATTTTTTCTTTTCTTTGTGTAAATATCTTTTTAAAATACAGTATTATGTTTTCTTTTTTTCATCAGATTTTTTAAATATTTATCATCACATGTTTTTTTATATTTTATTTTAATTTCTAAAAAGTGAAAATTTCAAATATTGTTACTGATATTTTACATTATTATGAGTTTGAGCTATTAGAATTCTTATAGTCGTTATTAACGATCATTACCGATCAAAGTATTTGTGACTTTGAAGAATGTTAAACAATGTCCATTTTTGTTATATGTTTTTTTTTACGGCTAATAATATAAAGTATCAACAAAGTAATATTGCAATATTATTGTATGGCTATTTACAATAAATTTTTGTGCTATAACACAAGTATGGTTTTTACAATATAATAGAAAAAATCAATAATAACAAAAGTTAAATAAATTAAAATTTTTATCAACTATACATTATAATATTTATACATATTTTCAATATTTATATTGTATTTTAATTCAGTTTAATGGTATAACTACTATTTTTATCTTAATTGAATTGAATTTCAAATTAATAAGCTATAAAAGTATTGCACATATTAAAATTATTTACATAATTTTTAAATTTATTTATTGTACTTTTTCAAATTATTATTTTACCTTGGACATTAGTTATAAAATGTGGATTACTATTTATATATTTCTCGCGTTCCTGAAAATTATAATTATATCCCCACTGACGTAAAAGGGTGCACAAAGTGTACATGTTCATCTCTTTTTTACGATCTTTTTCCAATTTTGGTTTCACAAAAATTTCACTATTTCTTACTTTATATTTTAGATCTTTCACGAGCTGAAAATAGTTTATTTATATTATTAATACTGCTTAATTAATCTGGACTTTTTATTTGTGTAAGATAGATTTTAAATAAATTCAATTTACATATTTTTTAAAGAATTACCTCTTCAGAAAAACTAATATTATATGGTCTAATCTCATTGATGGCAGAATCTTCAGTACCGGGTCTCCACCATTTATTGGGCTTAATTATTTGAGAAGAAAAATACCTTATTAAAGGGTTGAACGTCGAAAAGCGATTTAAAGTAATCGCATTAGTTACAGCTAGCAGATAGCCCATATTTCCAGCAAACATTTTCTTTCACTTTAATGAATTTTAATGCAAGTAATTTAATAACGTTTGATATGCTTTTAGTTTGAAATGTTTGACTCTTGTTTCGCACCTACTTGTTACCACAATAATAATTTCGGGGCAAATAGAATTCGGGACGCGCGTGCGGACTAGACTTGCTAAATAACAATAAATAATAAAAGTCACCTAATATGCCGATCGAATATACCTATATTGAATCTTCTGTTGTCAAGAAAAAAAATTAGGAGCTGTGTGTATAGAAAGATAGAGGATCGAAAATTCTTACTATATTATTTATCGCCATTATATTTCCACATTATTAATTCGACAAATATTGATCCACTTATATTATCCATGAGAAATGATCAAACTCAGCATTAATTTGAAATTGCAAGGAATGGAAAATTCTGTGCATATAATTATTTTATACATATGTATGTTAAATATTTTGTCTTATAAAGACAATAAATAAGTATTTTTGGATATTATATTCTGCGAATATTTATCTTTAATTTTTCAGTTTGTATACTTATTTGCATATATATTATAATATAAGTTAGCAAGCGCGGAATAAAGTGCGATCGTTGTTCTTTCATCACAATATAATCAAATGCGCGTTGCGTACAATTATTATCATCGGAAGTGCAAAATGTCGCGCTATCGTCATGTTCTGATAATGATAGTGCGCGTGCGATCATAATTAACGTGTCTCCGCGAAAGAGAGTCGTATGAGGGTTGTGCAAAGGAGCAGCAAAGAATGTATGCAAGGAAGGAAGAGACATGGAAAAGGCATCTGTCAACGATGAAATAATCGTCGGGTGAATAATTTATAAGTGATTATTGGATGATAATTTATTCACGAATATTAAATTGCCGTGTGTTCATCAACGCAACTTTCAGAAAAAAAACATTGAGAAAATAATAGACAATTAAAATATTCGATAATTGAAAAGATGGTAGAAATAATTGCGTAACGTACGTGTTTTGCGCGCAATAGATTTTTTTTTTTAATTGAACTAGAACGGAATAAAATAAAGTAGACATAGAATATATATATATTTCGATGTTTGAGAGAAGAGAGGAAAAATGAAAAATACAAAAAGTGTGTTCAACTAAAAAAATAACTCTCTCTCTAATGTTGAAATTTTTCATAAATCTTAAATATTTGTTCCTATATTGAATTTATTTTAAAACATATAGAAAGAAGAAAAATAAGAAAAGTTTCTCTGTGATATGTATGTAAGGCATATAAATTATACAATATTTAGAGTACGCATTTTGAATTTAATTTTTGTTCGTTTGAATATTCCGATAATTCTTCTTTAAATAATTACAGCAGCACGCGGAAATTGATTTTACTTAAACGTATTAATTTTTTGTCGGATAAAGTCATCGTCTAATAGAGACCGTTCTTTCGTGATGACGAAAAATCTCAAAGGATTTTTGGAATAAAGCGGAGAATACCACCGTGAATGACCGGTTTCACAATAGTGCCGTAACAAAACTAACAATGGCCACAATGCCGAGCACGTATTCTAGTTCGTGAAGGGTTCTCTTACTCGAATTAGGGTGACAATTCCTTTCATCTGGGGTCGAGGACGTACAATGAACCTCACTCCAGTATAATTCGTTGTTCTGATAATATTATAAAATTGATCCTATACTAATTTTAATAATATCGCATGATATTGTACATAAAAGAAATATAAAACTGCGACCGGACAAAAGCTCTCTTTTACATATTACTTAAGATTTAAAATATTAAATAAAAAAGGTTATTTTTTTTATATAAAATTAAATTTTATATAAAACTTTAGACATTCGCACGAAAAGAGGAGATTTGTCACGAACATTAATATTTTTTCATAATTACTTATGCTAATTGGATTTTAATTAAGTTTAATGCAATTAAAAATCTCATGATAATATTATGAACCTTGAAGTAACATTTTTTAATAATCATATGTAATGATCATTGATAAATTATGATTCTGTATTTTATAATTACTTTTAATTATTCGACATATTTGCCCAGTATGTCATTGATTTGTCTGTTATTATCTGGAATCGTGACACGCATAATGCATTGTGCACCATACGATGCCGGATATTCATAGCGTTTGCTCGCGTAAACAAAGAAAGAAACGTTTGACATTAATACGATGTGCAGGCAAAGGCAAAGTCAGAGAATCCGATGAACGCGCTGTCAAATTCAATCGATCAGCGCAAATAATGCAGTTAATATTATCGTTCTTGCATTAATAAAAACGCATCAAGTTTTTCTCTCAACAAAATTTAAAATTAATATTAATAATATAAAAGAGAGGAAGATATTTGAGAGAAAAATTCTGATAAATTAATATCGGAATATACTATATATATAATAATATATTATAATATTATGTGATACCATTATATAATATTATAATATATAATATATATAAAATTAATAATATTATATATAATATATATATAATATATATATATATATATATATATATATATATATATATATTCATATTTTCTGTATGTGAGGTAAATATATCTCTCCCACATATCTCGGATTTGTATTTACACGCATATACATATTCTTGAACTGAACATGGCGACTCGCGGTCCAGACGTCGAGTGTCTCTACAGCGGTTTGTACGCACTGCGGTGACTCAGCCGTGGAATGCTGCACGCGCGCCCTGCCTTGATTGCCTATCAGAGCTCTTAGTCTCCGGCATTCTATAAATAATACGACACACGTACGCGTCGCTCATGAAGGAAGGTGTCGACGCGGTCGTAACGAAATCGCCGTTAATTCATGCCGATCGCGACCCGGAGACGCGTCACGCGATGTCTTCCGCCTTCGCGGAACTATCGAGAATTATCGAGAGTGAAATGTGCATCCTGTTTGCTTGCACCGTGAGACTTTGAGACATCATCAATTTTGCGATACTCCAAATATTTCATCTTTTTTCTTCTTATAATAATATATAATATACCTAGGGGAATAAATATAGGAGAATAAATGTGGACAATTGGATGAAAAAAGATTATCAAATTATTTTATCAAATTTGTGATGGAGATTTGGAAATTTTGTATTTAATTTATGTAATTTTTTATTTATGTGCGAGCTTTCATATTTCATCATTTCTATTTTCTCAATTCATACCATCTTCCTGAAATATTATTTAAATTAAAATCTCTTGGGATTGATTAATTATTTTCACGAAAAGTGCACATATAATTTTGTATATTTCAGTATAATTTTTCTTCAAAAATTTTTAAATATAATTTGAAAAGAATATTACCTTTTTATTCTCTTATCTCTTTTATAGAAATAATAATCAAAATATATCTCTTCTGTTCATAAACTCGTATTTATTAAATTATATGTTATTTGTCTTTTAAAGAGATGCATTTTATTCTGAAATAAATAAATTGGCTATAGATGGCTGCGCGTTTTAACAATCGCGTGCTTTACTTGTGCGTTTAACGATCGCTTTTATTATTCTAGAAATTGTATAATGATACCTTATAAGGTACGTCGAGAAAGAGATAATTGTTCTTTATTCATGGTAATCAAAATTCGGATGAGTTTACTGAACGTGTCGAATCGAGTTATCGAGTGCGCGAATCAATATATGAAATCGAAGATAACGATCGAATCGAAAGTTGCTTAACTGCCTTAAGAGAGGTACCTTTAAAGTTTTTTTTTCGATGCTATACCGCCATATATAGCACGTGCATAATTCTTTTCAATGATGTCTCGCTGCTTTCTCTGTGCCACAAGTATGATTCTTTCAATGTATAATTACTTAAAATTTCTCTGACAAACGTATATATCACATTTGATATATAAGCTTTTGTCTCTGTTTTTAACGTTCAACTTTAAATACTCAAATAAATCTTTAATTACTCTCGGAATTGAAATCCCCTAAAATTAATATTTAAATTATCATCTATTCGAATGACAGCAACCCCTTCTTTAAAAAAAATAATAAAAAGGAGAGGATTCTGTTACGACGTGCTCTGTAACAAGCGACTGCACCATCCAATGCATAAGTAAGTGCACAACTATAAATTCGCGCACTGCTCATTCATTTGATCTCGTAAAGGCACAGTCGTAAAATGCTCTCGCACAAAAGCTCGAAAGCTCGTACGATTCAGACGACGACATCTCGCATTTGTTCGTTTTAGTAGTGTCGCGTCGTTGATCGAACGCGCGAATTCGGATGCGCGATCCGATTCCGCGACTATTTCATTACTTCTGTTTCCTATCGTCTTTACACAGTTTGCTGAACGCGCGTGATATTTTACGATCAATTTGAATCTCGTTGTAGTCGAAGCGTTTCCGGTATTGAACTCTTACAACACAAATAGAATGGGAATTGCTTCCGCTATCGGAAATATATAAATATATATACTCTATTTAAAAATTATTTATGCCGTTACAAGCAATTTGCTTTGACAGTTTAAGATCGAAGATAGATTTTCGACTCGACGATATCTTCATTTAAATATAAAAAAAATTAATTGAGAAAGAGGCCATTATTTTTCGATTAACATTATTCTCGTGGGAAATAGATGAACTAATCGTAAATGTGAGACGCTTCGTACATCCAGGATGCATCGCTAGATGCACCCGGAGATAGGATGATGGTACATGCGATCGCATAAACGCGCGCATGCGGTCATCGTTCGACGAGGGTTTAAATGCAATGGGAGGTCGCATCAATAAAAGTGAGTCGTGACGTTGTGCGAGAAGGCGCGCACAGGACGCGACACCCACGCGATGCTTTTCGTATTTGTCGTCTCGGAGAAAGAGAGAGAAGGATCGGCTCATTCATGCTTCGAGTGGCTCGTTTGACCGGCGATTTCGCTCGAAATTGTCGACCTAACGCGATCGTCTCGGCCAAGTTTCACCTTGAATACGGAACAAATGAGCGAACACGATAGTTCGATTCGTTGTTCTCGAACGCATCAACCATATATTCGCTCGAAAAACATATTTGCATTTCACTCGAATA